TGAGTTAATTGTGATGCTTTAATTCGTGTATTTATTATGTAATGACGAAGTTAAGCTAATTAAAATTTTATCACTTTATTAACGTGGATACATGTTAAATTCTGTGTTCTAATTATTTTGAGATTTAAGGCATTATGGTTAATTATATTCACCCTGCTATGCCACAAAACATAGGAATTTATTTTGCCTACCTACCTTTTATACAGTTACATCTACAGTGTCTTTATTTCTGTCTTTTATGGAAATGTACTATTATTAAAAAAACATTAGCAAAAAAGTCACCTAATTATATAAATTAAAATACTTATCACCAATGAAAATTTAAAATAGTTTTTTATTCAGTCTCAACTTTGTGCATATATAACCTATTGGTATAAGAATGACAGAAGTTTTGAGAAATATCAAATGTCAAAACTTCTTTTCCTTCTATGTTGCATGGATCACCTTTAATTATCTCAACAAAACCATGATGTACCAGTAATTTTCTTTGTCCATACTAGTGAACCAAAGCTTAATAAAGTTTACCACAAGTGTAAAAGTTAGTAAAATGTGGAGATGGATTATGAAACTAATGTTTCACCACCTTGTACTACAGAGTTCAAGACAGGTTGACTCCATTTTTTTTTCCTTTCAGTCCCCTATACTCCCCACTTCTTTGAGGATACTGGGGTTACAACTCAGAATTTTACACTTACTCAACTTGCTTGCTTGTCTGGCACACTGCCAGTTGAGCCACACTTTCAGTCCTGCTTTTTGCTGGTTACTTTAGAGATCAAATATTTTAAGCTTTACTACGGTATTGGCTTACACCATGATCCTCTGGATCTTATCCTCCTGAGTAGCTATGGTTCCAGGTGTAAGCCAGAGGTGATCTGTTTCATTCACTCATCATCATCATCATCATCATCATCATCAGTGTTATTATTATTGAATCATTGTACAGAGAGGTAACAGTTTGATATTTCAGGTTCTGAGTGTGGTGCACCTTGACCCATGTCATCCCTTCCATCAATCCCTCCCATTTCCCCCTCCCATCCCTGCCCTCAAGTTCAGTTTTGACATAATTTACACTGAATGTAGTGACTGCGTTTGGTCATCCTTCCTCCCTCCTTTTGTGTCCCCCCCCATTACTCTTCCCCATAAATACATTGCAGCTTCTCGGTATTCACTCTTCTTGTAACTTCCTAAAGCCATACTGGATCCTCCCATGAAATACTGAGGTTTTCACAGTACAAATGAGCATCTTCGCTCGTGAGAGGACAGAACCACGGAGCATGCAGATGGCAGAACCCTGGACCTGTGTGCCAGTGTCAGTGCTGGCAAGGTGGGCTCTCAGGACAAGATCAGATCAACTTACAATAAGACAGAAATAGAATAATTATTGCTATTCTTGAAATAATCAAAATCCAAGAACGCATTTCTCACCTTATAATTACCCTGAAACGGTTTTTCAGGACTCTTTAGACAAGATTAATTGCCTAAAAAAAATGCTTCACTTTGCAAACAAATATGAAAGCGTCCCCTCTCCTCACCCACATCAAGTAATCAAGAAAAGAACAGCTCCTAGGAGTAGAGATGAGCTAACTTTTGTTAAAGTTTGTTACCTACCACATTGAATGATCACTTTACATTGGGATTCCTGGAAGATTTCCAGTGGAATTGAAGTTTGTGGTCTTTTTTTAAAGTATTCTGTGTCTTTCTGCATCTTATCATTCTGGGACAGACGTGAGGGATCTATTTTTCAAAGTTAAGGTCCAATGCAAGGCAGGGTGGTACTCAAGATTCTCATGTGATCGTTTCTGTATTAGGAACCCACATCCATCATTGCCTTTATCACTCACATTCACTCTAATGTAGATTTTAGCCTGAGACTAAGGTTAAGTGATTTGCCCAACGAGTTAGAGATAAGTGCTTTAGAACACATTGAAATGATTCCACATTCAAAACCATTAACATGTTTCCCACTACTTTGTCAACACACACCTCTCCTACATATTTCTACTACAGCATGGTCCTTCAGGAAATAGTTGCACTTATTTGTTCTCCATAAATATATCCCTTCATTTAAGTCTCTGTCTAGAATGTAATTTTGGTACTGACAGAAGTTTATGACTGCTTATTGTTCATTTTCTAGGGATGGAGCAATGACTGGAAATGAATAGCTACACTCATCACTATAACTTCCTTTTGTGGCTTTGACTTTATTTCTTGATGATAGTATTGTACTTAAGTTGGGGAGGTAGAATTTATTTCTGAAGAATCAGAGTAAACATACTAGACAAAAAACATAGCAGACTATACACCTCACACAGACTTTGGCCCAGTGGTGCACTCCTGTCTCTCCAGTCTGAAAGAACTCTGAAATACATGAGAATACGCTTTCTCTGAAACAGTGTCTCTATGTTCCAACAGTATGGAGCCAAGGCTCAGGATTCAGGCACTCGAAGGATCCCATATTTTATTCTTAGTTGAAATTTCTAGCATTCGTTTGGATGACTAATTTTGTTCTCTATCTTTTAACAATATGTGGGCACATTTCTCCTTATTGTTCTTTTTTGAGAAGATTTTTAACCCAAATTCTTCTTGATGCTGTAAAACAATTAAGTAACTACAGATATCAGCGTTTTCATGCGCCAATATCACCAGTGAAAGGAATTGCTATGAAAGTGAGTATGAAGTCACACACACACACAAACATACACACACACACTCAATTTATACACACTGTTTCAAGTGTGTGCAGAGTTTGTCAAAAAAGAGCATTCAGAACAATATTTTCCTCTTCTGTAGATTTTCTGTAAAGCCTTTAAGTCATCATTCTGAGTAGAAACTCTAATTTCATCAGACTGTTGAGTGCTCAACAAATATTGTCACTTTTCCTGAATAGTAACTGCAATTCAAAACGTTCTACAAAGATTTTGACTGGCAACATCTTCAGAAATCGTGATTGGCAAAAACCTGCTTCAAGTCTGTGTACATCGTTGCAGCAGCGGGTACGCTGTTCAGATTCATTCTGTTCCTCCTGCAGTATTGACACACCTTCCTCCATGTGCTGGGGCATTGCCTGTGAACAGTTCAGTGATCAGGACTGAGGGTCACTGTCCTCACTTTGTAGTTGCCCTTGACTGAAGAGTGCTACCAGGCCCAAGAGCCATGGTCCATTCTCTAGGGTATTTCCTATCACACAGGTCTTCAGTGAAGACCTGGCCCCATTAAATCATTGAGCAGCCTAGATTGAAAGCATAGCTGAGGTCCACTGTAACCATGTCCTGTCCAGTCTCTGGTTCCTTTTCTTTCTGCACAAAGAATGATCAAGATAGATACAGAGATAGAGATGAAGACATAGATAGATAGATAGATATAAATATATGGATAGATATGTAGATATAGATATTTGCTACATATATATAGCAATATAGATATTTGCTACATATATATGCACATAGCAATATATGCATATATGAAATATGTATATGCAATATATATGTATACATTTACTATATATGTGTACATAAAATTATATTTGCTAAGAATTGTGAAACAAAATTTATCTTTAAGAATCACTTCTAAAATATGATTGGGAAACTTTATTCTTATTCATTTATTTATTTTTGTTGGTCATGGGGCTTGAACTCTGGGTCTAGGTGCTGTCCCTCAGCTCTTCAGCTCAAGGCAAGCTCTCTACCACTTGAGCCACAGCACCACTTCTGGTTTTCTGGGGATTAATTGGAGATAGGGGGTCTGGAAAAATTTATTTTGCTGTACTGGAGATTGGAATCAGGGCCTTGTGTTTGCTAAGCAGATGCTCAACCAGTTTAGCCCCAATCCCAGCACCATAACAAATTAGTGATTTTTGGTATCTCCTGGTGTTCTTCATTAAATTTACCAGGTAATTTACCCATGCATCCATCTATAATACAAGTAGTAAATGTATGTCTGACATATACTGGGAAGGAAGACAGGTTTCATAGATTGTGGCTCTAGTTGTCACTCTAGACTTTCCCAAATTCTCCTCAGATTTGCAGTTTCCAGAATGTGCCAAGGTAGCTACTTTGCCTTTACTTGTGCATGACTCATTTATTGGAATTCCTTCTCTGCCCTTATCCTGGTGAAGCTCAACATTTCTTGAACAATTAACTGAAATGCAACCTCTCTTAGAAAATTTCTGCTTTCATCTTGTCTGTCCTGGATCATGTAGTTAATTACACTTGTTATGTATCTTGTTTACATGTGTTATGTAGCTGAATATATCTTTATATGTATTTATCTGTTCTCTATTTTACCACCACCAAACTGTAAATGCCTTCACTGTAAAGATTTTTGTCTGAAAAAAAAATTTCAATTCAGGCAAGCTCTCTGTACTCAATTGTTCCATGAATAAGTGAATATGAAAGAGAAGAGTAATCTGAAAAAAAAGATGGTTTTGATTCTATTATCCATGGGCCTAATTACCTAAGCATGCAAATTAATTGGTGGTTCCAATCTAATTTTATATTCTGAGGAATTAAATGTGATGGGATAAAATATTCCTTTGATATTTTTGCACAGCTTTTAAAAAAATTCAGCAGTCGACTTTTCTAGGTACGTTTACTTGTGCTTTTGCAAAACTTACGTATCACCTGCTATATGATACTATTAACCATATATTTCATATTCCTTTGATATCATTTCCCTTGCATATTCTCGCAACCCACATGAATCTAATAGGTATCTTTAAAATGAAAACTACAAAGGAATCTTAAGTAACACAGATACAAAAGAGGCTGTCTTTATACAGCTCTCCAACCTAGCAGAACCCTTTCTTTGACAAGAATTGGGTATTGTTAAAGTTATGACAAAGCAGTTTATCTCAGTCTTTTAAAAAGACCTACACCCTTGATTTTTTTTCCTTCTCTCTTGATTCCCACACATGGATTTCTGTATGATAGGCTTGGCAAAATTTAGCTCTTGGCAAAAAATAACGTGTTAATTATGACTTTTTCCCCCTCTCTTTTTATTAGGTACGTCTGTCACTAATGTCACAGCTACTGACGCCGATGACCCAGTTTATGGAAACAGTGCAAAGTTGGTTTATAGCATCTTGGAAGGGCAGCCTTATTTCTCCATTGAGCCTGAAACAGGTTTGTGGCCTCAATTTTGAATTCTATTTATCAGGTTTTGGCATCAGGGAAATGCTTTTTTGGGGATTTGGATTATGGAATTTTATGGTTAAGGATTTCACTGCCAGGAGCAATAATATTCGAATGGGCACTCTGAGGAATATGGTAGCCACAACAGTCATTTGGATACTGATTAAAACAAATTATAGTACCTGGGTAAAATAACACAGATGGTCTGATGCCATTTTTCATCCTGGAATAAAGGAGGAAATGGTACTTATACACACTTAGGCACACTTAAATATCAGATTTAAAGATGAATCTAGCCACTCATTGGCCACCTGGTGCTGAACAGCAATGCTCTAAATTTCAACTTGTGTATCTATAAAATGGGTATATAACCTAACCTTTTAGTCTCATTATGGAACTGAGAAGCAAAGAATGTCCGCTATGCAGGACATAGAAAATGATAGTCATTCAATACAAATTTGATACTGTTATTTTTGTCATAGAGCCTTTATTTTATTTATTTATTTATTTATTTATTTATTTATTTGTCGGTTGTGGGCCCTGAACGCTGGGCCTGGGTGCTGTCCCTCAGCTCTTCAGTTCAAGACTAGCACTCTAGCACTTGAGCCACAACACCACTTCCTGTTTTTTCTGCTAATGTGGTGCTGAGGAATTGAACCCAGGGCCTTAGGCATGCAAGGCAAGCACTCTGCCACTGAGCCACCTTCCCAGCCCTAAAGCCTTTATTTGTAAGACAGGTTTGATGCCTACCCTCTGAGCTCTTGTGAAAATATTTTTACAGCTAAAATTAAACCAAGCCAATTTTTTAAGTCCTTCAGTACAGATTTTTTTGAAGGATGATGTAAGTTACTTAAAGAAGAGCAAAATAAGTTCCATGCCATTGACTCAAGCCTATAATTCTCTCTACTCAGGAGACTGAGTTAGAATGATTGTAGTTCAAAATCAGCTAGTGAAGAAAGTCCACTAGATTTCATCTCCAAAAGACAAATCAACAACAACAGGAAAAAAAATCAGAGCTGGAAATATGACTCAAGTGGTAGAGTATTAGAACAGCAGACAGGTTGAGCAAGCAAGATACCTTGAGTTCAAACTCTAGTACCAAACAAAAGAAAATAAGGAAGGAAAGAAATAAGGGAAAGAAAAAAGAAAAAAAAAAGAGAAAAAGCAAGTAACCACATATTTTTCAAAATACTCTGGAATGAACCCCAAGTAGGGACACAAATATCTTTTTTCTTTCTTGCTATTGTTTCTAATGTATTTATAATGTACCATGTGATTTTTAACTTCTTTGTATGTTCCTCCCCCATGGTATAATACCTGTTTTAACTGTATTTGATGTCGGTGCCCTGCATCTTGTATATACACATCTCTAATTCGGGGAAGGAAGGGAAAAAAACAAAATGTTGAAAAAAGGATACAGGTTGACTCATTGTAACAATGAGATGTATGTTGAAAATGAATTTTACTTCTTCGGCAGGGGGTGGAGGTGGGAGGGAAGGGATGGTAGGGGGGAAACAAAAGAGGAGGCAACAATGCTCCATAGGAAATATACTCTTTACCTTGATCATGTAACTGTAACCCCTCTGTACAGCATTTTTACAATCAAAAACATACAAAAATACGCTGGAAAACAACTTCATAATTTTGTTTTTCATTTTTCCCCTTTGGTTTATCCCCTCTTGTCACCGTATTTGATTTTGGTGCTCTGTGCTTTGTATATGTGTTTTTCTGATCTGAGAAAGAGACGGGAACACAAAATAGTGAGACAAAGGACAAAGGGGGAACCAATGCAAAAATGATACCCACAATACAATGTGTTGGAAATGAACTTTACAACTCGGGGTGGGAAGGTAGTGGGGGGAGGGAAAGTGACAGAAAAATGAGGGACAAAAAATGTTGGACAAGAAATGTACTCATTACCTTATGTATATAACTGTAACCTTCTGTACATCACCTTATCAATACAATTAAATTAAAAATACAATTTTATAAATGGAGAGGCATGTTTCTAATTGATTCAAAAGTATCTTAAGAAAATAAATCTGTTTGGCAGTCTGTGGAGTACTGTGGTAGGCATCTAAAATTATTTTTAAAAAATTATTGTTAAAACAATTATTAAGAATAATTGTTATGAAAGACAGTATCTTCTCTATCTGATATGTTTTCTATCATTTGATAGGTTTTCTTTCTATAAATTTCCAAATACAAAATTTCAACCTTTAAACACCACCTGCACATATATTAATTTTTCTTGGATCCATTAGTTTTTAGCATCATTGAGACAAATTTCCCTGACTTGCTAGTAAGTCAATTATTAATTTAAATAAAATTTTAAAGCCTCTCTAAGCTATAAAAAAATCAAAAAGTAAAATCCTCAGACATTTAAAAGAAAAAATACAGTTATATACAAATATGTCATATCTTAAAATTGATTTGGAAACAAGAAAACATTCTTGTAAAGTGCATTGATTAAATGGTTTATGATAATATACTCATTATCAACCAAGAGGGAAGCCTGTTTTAAAAATTGTCCCATTTGGGACCATGGATAATGATGGAGGAGTATCAGCTTGGGTAATCAACTCTTGGTTTTAAGGAAAAGAGAAATCTGGTGATATACTATTATTTGGCCAGGGTAACAATTACAGAAATGAGAGCAAAGTAAAAACTCAAATTCCAGATTCCTAATTTCAAGGCTTCTGTGAGATTTCTTTTAATAGCTTTTGGTGTTTTTTTTAAAAATACATTTATTTATTCATCTTTTTATTTTATTTTTTTGTCAGTCGTGGGGCTTGAACTCTGGGCCTGGGCACTGTCCCTCAACTCTTCAGCTCAAGGCCCTACCACTTGAGCCACAGCACCACTTCCTGTTTTCTGGTGGTTTATTGGCCACAAGAATCTCTCATACTTTCCTGCCTGGGCTGGCTTTGAACCACGATTCTCAGATCTCAGCCTCCTGAGTAGCTAGGATTACATAAATTTATTTTTTAATGTTATTGGCAAGGTGATGTACAGGTGGGTTACAGTTACATAAGTAAGTTTGTGAGTACATTTCTTGTGGAACTTGTTACCACCTCCCTCATTTTTCTCCCACTTTTCCTCCCCCGCACCCCACACCCTGCTGTACAGATCATTTCCAACATATTGTCTTGTGAATATCGCTGTTGCATTGGATCCCCCTTTGACCTTTGTTTCATCCAGTTGTTTCCCTCCCCTTCCTTAATCAGATAAATATATATACTATTCATGGGGAGGGGATACAAAAGAAACAAGAAATCATATAGTACCTTAAAAACTATAACAATAAAGAAAAACCTCTTGTGTCCATGTCTTGGCTATGTTCATATGACCATATAACCATATGGTTATATGACCATATGACCATTGGGTTTTTAATGTAGAGCTTTTCACTATTTGCTCAGCTCATGTTTGACTATAAGAACCTTTACCTCTAACCAGTTCCCTCCAACTCCAGCTCCCTGGATTATTTTGGAGATAAAGTCCACAGAAATTCTCTGTCCAGGGTGTCCTTAAACCATGACCTTCCATGTATCAACCACTTAGGTAATTAGGATTAGTAGTGTGAGCCAACAACACTTAGCTTGAACTTCACTTTTCATAAGCAATAATAATAACTTATATAAAGCTAGAATATGTTAACTGCCTGAGTAGAGTTGAATAGGTATCTCCTTTTGTTTCTTGATTTGTTCATGTGGGTCTTTCTGCTTGTCATTTCCATTATAAAACAGATATTAAGCCGGCAAATATCCATTGAGTATTCAGTATGTGCAGGCACTGAATTAAACATAGGGAGGGAAAAAAAATTACAAAAACTAGTCTCAGCTTGCAAGTGTCTCACAATCTATTTTGGAAGACAGAATTTTTTCCAACATAAATAAAGGAAATATGGTGATGTTCTTTAAATAATTTATATTTTAAGAATAAATTACTGTGAGGTATGGATAAGGAAGGCTCTCTTCTAATTTAAAAGCCTCTTTGATATATATTGCTGTTTGCTTAATTAAACACTGTCAGCAACAGTTTGTATTTACATTTTATGCAGGACAGTGAGTATCTATCTTAACACACAGAAATTTTAACTTCATCATTTTCAGTTTGACATGTGTAAAATTATCTGACTTATATTTTAGAAACTTTACTCTGGTGCTATCATAGATAATATTATGGCTGATAACTTGAGAGATATGATACTTGAACAGCTTACATTGTAGCTGCTTAGTAAGTGAATGAGGTTGAAATTTCAATGTGAATAGTTACAATGCAGTTGAAAATAGGGGTGAAATTCAATAAGCAATAAAGTACCAAAGGAGGAGGCAACAATGCTTGTTAAGAAATGTACTCATTACCTTGCCCATGTAATTGTAACCCCTCTGTACGGTATTTTCACAATATAAATAAATAAATAAAGCGTAACACATAGCTGAAACATGAAAAATGTAAATGTTTTGTGTAAATACCTTCATAATTACACTTGAGTATGTTCTAGGGAAAGAAATAATGGCTAGTTGTTCTTATGTAATCTAACTTTGGCTCTGTTTTTGAGGCCCCTTCTCTCTTTTTAAAAAAACACTGCTTTGAGACTGATATGAAATATGTCTCTGGGTGTGTGGAGAGAGAAAATGAGACATACAGAGTGGAGAAGGGAGGGTTTTAAAGCTATACAGAGCAGATGAAAATTGTTTTAAGTTTTAAAATTTTGCAATACAAACTTGGACAGAGAGCCTTGGACATTTGAAATCTTAATTTTATGTACATATGGAAATGAAATATCTTTTGGAATGACCAAAAGATGTGCATAAGCTGAGGACCCTGGAAAATAGATGAGATGCTGAGATAGCAAGGAAAGTAAGTGGTGTATTGGCAGTTTATGACTGAAAAAAATAAAGGAAGCAGGAAGCAAGCTTGGCCAAAAAATTCTTTATATCAGATGCAAATCTGTTTCCTACACAAGGAAAGAGGACAAGAAGATA